ATTCCACCCCAGGGACCCCTCCCACTGTCCCAGGTGCTCCCAGCCCCAATGTCCAGCCTGGCCTTGGGCACTCAAAGGGATCCAGGGGCAGCCACAGCTGCTCTGGGAATTCCATCCCAGCCCCTCCCCACCCTCCCAGGGAACAATCCCTTCCCAATATCCCATCCATCCCTGCCCTCTGGCACTGGGAAGCCATTCCCTGTGTCCTGYCCCTCCAGCCCTTGGCCCCAGTCCCTCTCCAGCTCTCCTGGAGCCCCTTTAGGCCCCAAAAGGGGCTCTGAGCTCTCCCTGGAGCCTTCTCCTCTCCAGGTCAGCACCCCCAGCTCTCCCAGCCTCTCCAATGCCAGCAGCAGTTGTGCATTCCCAGACATTTTCCCCAGATGGGAAGAATCTGACCTGGAAATTTAATTTGTCGAGGTTTTTATCAGAAATCCGTGGGAGAACTGAGAGGAAGCTTCCCAGATCCCACCCTGGGGCCGAGGGGGCTTTGCTGGGACCCTCCTGTCCCACYGGGAGCAGCTCTGCAGTGTGTACATGGAAAAGCTGGGAATCCCATCCCAACAGCGTTCCCAGGCCCTGCTGAAGGATTTTGGGAGGAGAGGGATGAGCTGGGAGCAGCTGGAAGCTGCAGAGGGTGCTCTGAGGAAAATCCTGAGCAGTAAAAAAGGTGGAAAAATGAATGGAGCTYCCAAACAACCCCAAAGAAGGGGTGGGGACACTTTCACAGAGGCCTTTTCAGGCTCTGGGTAATTTTGGCRCTCCCTGGGCCGGGCTCAGAGCTCCTGGGATGGGGGAGCTGTGGTTGTTCCACCCTCCTGCACCTCAGCASTGTCCCTTTCCTGACTGACCCATCCCCACAAAGGATTTCCACAAACCCAGCATGGCCTGGGCTTCACCCCGTGTTTTCCTGCCCCTGCAGTGCAAGAAGGAGTCTCCAGGGAGCCTGGGCTTTCATTTTCCAATTTCAGCAAAACCACAGTTTTGTGCCCCAAAATAGGCACCAGCCCCAGGCAAACACCTCTGTGGGGATCACTCTGAATGGCCACTTGTGCTGCTTGAGGGAAAATGACCCCAAAAACACCTTTCAGGGTCTTGGGTGTCATGGGCAGAGTCGAGGACCCTGGGGAAAAATTAATCTGAAAAAAATCCACAGGGTTTTTCTGAACAAAAACCTGAAACRTGCTCGTGTCTGGCTCGGGGTGAAGCACCTGAAAAAGCAACATTTGCACTTTGCTGTGATTTTTTGTTTCTGGTTTTTTTTCATTTCTTACACGGGCCTGGAGTGACAGGACACTGGGGTTGGCTTTGAGGTGAAGGAAGGCAGGGATAGGTGAGAGATTTGGAAGGAATTCCTGAAAAGCAATTGATGCCCCAGCCTAGAGCCAAAGCTTAATTATTAATGAATATTTATTAACTGGAAATCCTTAATTAACAAGACTGAGCCAGGCTGGGAGAGCTGGGGGTGCTCACCTGGAGGTGACAAAGATCCAGGGAGAGCTCAGAGCCCCTTTTGGGGCCTAAAGGGGCTCCAGGAGAGCTGGAGAGGGACTGGGGCCAGGGAATTGCTCAAAGATTCATTCCTAGAATTCCTTAAAGGCTCATGCCTAGAATTCCTTCAAGATTCATCCACAGAATTCTTCAAAGGTCCATCCCTGGAATTCCTTCAAGATCCATCCCTGGAATTCCTTTAAGATCCATCCCTAGAATTCCCTAAAGATCCATCCCTGGGATTCCTTTAAGATCCATTCCTAGAATTTCTTAATCATTCATCCCTAGAATTCCTCAAAGATCCATCCCTGGAATTCTTCAAAGATTCATCCCTAAAATTCCTTTAAGACCCATCCCTAGAATTCCCTAAAGATCTATCCCTGGAATTCCTCAAAGGTCCATCCCTGGAATTCCTCAAGGATTTATCCCTGGAATTCCTCAAGGATCCATCCCTGGAATTCCTCAAGGATCCATCCCTGGAATTCCTTAAAGATCCATCCCTGGAATTCCTGGCAGACCAGGAGCACCTGCAGCCAGTGACACTGGTGACACTGCGGTGACTCAGGCTGAGGGACAGGGAGGAGCAGCAGCAGGGGAGCAAAATTCAGCGAATGAAACCTTTTCTCACAAAGTTCCAATTCTCCTTTTGGCCGGAAGGAGAGCAGCTGGAATGGRGTGTGAAACGGGGCTGCCGAGGAAATCACAGCCTGTAGGAAGTGTGGGGTTTGGGGTATTTCCTCGGGTTTAAAGCGTTCTGGGGGGGCAGTTCAGGGGTTCTTTGCTCTGGGGATGGTTGGGGCTGAGCCAGGCTGGGGTTCTGACAGATTTATTCACTCTCCTGAGAGGCGTGTGCTGCTTTCTGAGCGGGAGGACAGCTCTGGGGCCTCTCACCCCAAAAAGCACATCCTGTGAGCTCCTCCTTTGGCTGTTGCTGTCATTCTTTCCATCACAGAGACTTCACAGCRTCTTCTTTTGTCTTAAGCTTGACTTTATCGAGCCTGGAGCTGGATGTGAACAAGGCCGGTGTTTGGGGGGGATGTTTTTTTTTTCTCTTTTCAGCCTTTTTTTTTTTGCTGTGGCATCGGTGAAGGGGAGAAGGGATGGAGATTTTCTGAGCCAGCTTTGGGGTGCAGCTGATTCTCCCAGGGAATAGTGAAGGGGAGAAGGGATGGAGATTTTCTGAGCCAGCTTTGGGGTGCAGCTGATTCCCCCAGGGAATAGTGAAGGGGAGCAGGGATGGGGATTTTCTGAGCCAGCTTTGGGGCACAGCGGATTCCCCCAGGGAATGGTGAAGGGGAGCAGGGATGGAGATTTTCTGAGCCAGCTTTGGGGCGCAGCTGCTTCCCCAAGGGAATTTTCACCAGCTCCACCCCAAAGGGCAGCGGTCACTCCTCAAACACGTCCCGATGGGCTGAGCCAAACAATCCCGGCGGGAGTTCTCCTCTTCCCCCGTCAAACCCCTCCTCTGGCAGGACCCCGCCGACCGCAGCGGGAACCGAGCCGCTGTGCTGAGTCAGCAGGTTTGGTTTCAATGTAAACAGAGCCCGGCCTGCGGGGCCGCTCTTCTGCTTTCCCCTAAAAAAAACCCGCCCCGAGCTGCTGCTGCTGCTCCTGCCCGGCTGCCGGGAGCACCCGGGGGTGTCTGGAGCACCCGGGAGTGTCTGGCTCCGTCCTCAGAGCTCAGCTGGGCTGTCCCGAGCTGGGATCCTGCATGGGAAGTGTCAGGGAATCCCTTGRTCTCCCCTTTTTATCCCAAGGGCTCGAGCTTCCCCTTTCTATGGGAGCGATCCCAGAATTCTGGAATGG